CAAACTGCATTCATTCAACAAAGTAGATTCACCCAAGGAAGATAAAACAAAATGATTTCATGATGAGCAGAACAAAGATTTTTGAGTGCAGGAAAAGAATTGAGAGGGTAAATATTTGACAGAGAGGGTGGGTTTTACAACCATAAATGCAAAGAACTTGAAGTCCTCATTTCACATCTCCAATCCAGAAACATTTGCTGCAGAACAACATAAGAATTGAGTAAATATAAATGGAAGCCAGTGAAATTATTGGAACCACTCACTGGAGAGTCCCTGGCAGTATGTGCCACTCTCTTTCTCCTTTCCCACAGCCTGTGTCAAGAAATCAAAATTTAAACAGATGCCATTCCTGGAAACAAAAGGTCAGCCTTCTTGAATTGTGAAGAGCTCAGAAATCTTTGCGTGCAAGTCAATTTCAGTTCAGGTCATTTGGGAGGTAAGCCTGGTTTACCTTTAAAAGGTACCAGATCTGGTGGTCTGGAAAGGCCTTAGCTGAGCAGTAGTTTATGTTTTGTCATAATTCATTCTGAATGCCTTGCACATACAAGAATGATCTATTATCAAAAGACCCCCCCCCCACACACACACACACTCCTATACTGTATATTCATGTGAGTACCTTCAGATTAGTGCTGCTTGTAGGTTGCACCATCCAAGTCTCCTTCTAAAGTTGGGCAAAAGGTAATTTTTAAAGTTTACAGTAAGATGTCCTGTATCCATAGGGGATACATTCCTGGCCAGATTGAGGTTGCAGGAAACTGTTGATAGGGTTGAACACCATTAAACTGTCTCACACCTGGTCCCTGGATGAAATAAAGTTACACTGAAGGATCTAGGGTTTTCTAGAAAGGTATCTTCTCTAGGAAATTGCTAGGTAAACTAATGCAGGTCTATGGCAACTTCCAATCAAAGTGTGCTATAAACTTGCCTGGAGGACCTAGAAGATGCAGAGAGATTATTTTCCACAAGGCATGGATAAGAGAAAGTGTAGATATGAGGATCCACAGTTACACAGATCTCACTGCCAATATATATCTATATCAATATCTATATATCTCAAGCAGCCTTCTTTGGAGGCAAATACCTTTCCTGAGTAATTAAATAAACCACCTACTACAGACAGAGCAGTTTTACATGCCTTCAGGAGAGACTGAACGGAGCAAAGTTTGAATTGTGTCAAGACTCAGGGCTCTGTGTAGGTATTTTTATTTATTATTTATTTACTATCTTTGTATATCGCTCTTCTCAGCTCACTGCTGACTCAGAGCAGTTAACAATAGCAAAATTCAATGCTCAAAAACATCATAAAACAGTTAAAAACTATTAAAACAGTAGCACAATAAACAGTCAATATAAATCAATAAAACATCTCATTAGCGTCTCATAGTTAAAAAATCAAGATCCAGTCTTATCATCCAATTGTTCCATATTCCTATGTTCATTACACTGCCTATTCAAATGCCTGCTCGAACAGCCAGGTCTTCACTTTCCCCCAAAATGTCAACAGGTAGGGGGCTGATCTAATATCTGTAGGAAGGGTGTTCCACAGCCGAGGGGCCACCACTGAGAAGGCTCTGTCTCTCATCCCCACCAAACGTACTTGTGATGCAGGCGGGACCGAGAGCATGGCCTCCCCAGATGATCTTAACACCCTAACTGGTTCATAGGAGGAGATGTGTTTGGACAGGTAAGTTGGGCCAGAACCATTTAGGGCTTTATAGGCTAAAGCCAGCACTTTGAGTTGTGCCCAGTAGCAAACTGGCAGCCAGTGGAGCTGGTGTAACAGAGGAGTTGTATGCTCCCTGAGCGCTGCTCCCGTTAGTAACCTGGTTGCTGACCGTTGGACCATTGGAAGCTTCCTGACAGTCTTCAAAGGCAACCCCACGTAGAGAGTGTTGCAGCAGTCTATACGGGATGTAACCTGAGTGTGGACCACCGTGTCCAAGCTCTGTATTAGATCACAAAGCTAACTATTTTCAGTTATTATATTTTGTATCATGTTAGCAGTTCTCTCATGTATCGTAGAAGTGCATTTAGGAATGCTTGCTAGTTTTATAACAGTATAAGAACAGTGGTCAATGTTTCAGTCATTTAAAACTGTAAAGTATGATTAACTTACTTCATCTTGGGAGTTGTTGTTCATTCTTTTTTCATCTATTTCTATAGGATAGAGAAACACAATTAGATATGTCTGCTCTGAAATAAATTTCATTGAGTTTAATAAGATCTACACACAGGATTGTTTATTACATTTGTATCCCCATTTTTCCTCCAGTGAGCCCTCTGTACTTTATCCACACAAGAACCCTGTGTGTTTAGTTAGAATGAAAGAAGATGATAACCCACGGTCATAACACATTAGCATGTCAGCTGCAGTGTGTAGGTGTGGCATGCAAACATAACAAGAAACATATTGTTGAAGGCTTTCATAGCTGAAATCATTGCAATCTTCTGAAGGTGCCAGCCACAGATGCAGGCGAAACGACAAGACAGAATGCTGCTAGAACATGGCCATACAGCCTAAAAACCACACAACACCCCAATAACAAGACACCTTGGCTCTAGTTCAATAAGCAATAATTTATATATTTATATAAATAAAAAATGTAATGTTTGTTTGTGGGATTAACATAACTCAAAAACCACTGGATGAATTGATACCAAATTTGGACACAATACATCTATCAAGCCAATGAGTGACTATTACTCATAAAAACACTAAAACAAACAGCAGAAGGGACTTAAAAGGCCAAAAAAGCAAAAAGATGCTACAGCACATGCGCAAAAACACCCCCCCCCAGCAAACAAAACACACAACAGCATATGCCTTTGGCAAGTAGGTGCTCAACATTTTTGGCTAATGGAGTTCATGCCCTCCAAATAGGATGTTTTTGCCCCATAACTTTAAGTGTTTTATGAGTTCCATTTAAACTTCCTGCTCCTATTTTATCTCATTATAGTCTGTTAATTGTTTTTATTCAGAATATATGGCCCGCCCATTGTCATTTCTATCGTGATTGTGTTTATTAGTATTTTATTTTAATTTTATTTTATTATCATTTATTATTTTAATGTCATTTTGATAATGTTGTTGTTGTCTAATGTATATGCTTTGATTTTATTGCTGTATTATTTTGTCCRGCCTTGGCCCCATGTAAGCCGCWCCGGGTTCCCATTGGGGAGATGGTAGCAGGGTAGAAATAAAGATTATTATTATCCACACTCTCTTCTGGACTACAGCTCCCAGCATCCCCTAGACCAGGCCCTTTTGGAGAGGGGRATGATCCAAAATGCACTGCTTCCAAGTTGCAAGCTTTCTTCTTCTTAGATTTCTTTGAGAACATCCCAATCCCTGCATATTTCCAATTTCCTATTCCTGGACTGCAACTCCCAAGAATCCTCCAGATAGATARATTAGATAGAGATATGTAGGTAGATGGATCAGGACTGCTGGGAGTTGGAGTCCAAGAATAGGTAGGGAAGGAAGAATGGGGAGAAAGCAGAAGGGAAAGAAAAGGGGGAAAGGGAGGGAAGAGGAAGAGAAGGAAGGAAGGAGAGAAGGAAAGAAAAAAAAGGAAGGAAGGAAGGAGAGAAAGAAAGAAGGAGAGAAAGAAAGAAGGAGAGAAAGAGAGAGGGAAGGTTGGCCATAGCAACGCATGGCAGGTACTGCTAGTTTTAATATATATATATATAAATGAAAGGTTTAAATGAGATATATTGTGTCCCCATACATTTCATGATCACAATTCACGTATATGTCCATATCTCTTATAAGGAGTTGGTTTAACTTCCCGTTTGCCTGTAAAACCGAATTACTGTGTCACAAAATGATGCATGTCTAAAAAAGGTGTGCCACCAACATGGAATGTTTGTTAAGCTCTTCTTTAATGAATACAGGTGCTCATATACCCTAATAGAGGAAAATAAGTATAAATGTGCATCTGAAACAACGTTGCCAGTACTCTGACTTTATCCACCATGTAACAATTTTCTTATTCGTTTTATTTACTGCATTTATATACCGCCTTTCTCACCTCGGGGGAGGGGGGCACTCTAGCTGTTTTATAGCAAGCTAATGGCAAAAATGCAATGCCAACATTGTAGTACACAAAGAAAACATAATAACTAATTACTACATATAACTATGAACTTAAAATCAATTAAAATAATTAAACATAAGACATATGTAAAATTTAAACATTCAGACAAAACATAAAACCATCCTAGTATAAACATTAACATCCCATGATTAACAACCATTGAGATATAAAAAAGTTACTGATAATGTCAGTCCAGTTCTATCAAAAATAACATGAAGCAGCAATATCATATGACAGATTTCAAGAGAGGGAGATCAAGCCAAGTGGAGTGTGTAATATGAGGTTGGGATGTTGAACCAGTAATGAGGTGCTGGATCCAATGTGTTACTCCCATAGGAAAAACAGTTTGGGGCTGGAGTTCCTTATGCTTTTTTTGGGACTAAGCCCCACGGAAATTTGACAAACAAAAAAATGAAATGTGAACAAAGAACACACAAGATAGAAAAGGCTATAGCAGTTTCCTTTTGCTCAGGTTTACTGGGATGGAAAAGCTTTCATCTTTTCCCAGATTGCAATGCTGTCAGCAGCAATTGGAATAAGCTGAGTAACAAAGGGCAAAGTTGGGGGGAAAATTGAGAAACTGAGATGTTTTAAAAGTAGCTGGAAAATGGGATTACAGAACATTAAATGGTACCGTTTCTGCCAAATTGGAACATTTGGAGGGTATGGTCTTTCCACCTAGGAAAACTCTGTGCCTCTCTGTGCCATAAACAAATTCTGAGCCAAATGCTGGCCTTTTCCCCTTCTATTACACTCAAAATCAGCCATGATTGGCTAATGTTGTTCTGTTTCTTCTACATTCAACCTATTTGTTGCATTTTAAAACTGCCAAAAAAGCAAAGTTCTTTGGTTGAGGGATAAATCAGAAACAAAAAACACAATAGCACAAAACAATGATAAAATGTGATCAATAAAAGCACACTAAACCTAACAATAGCAAAACTAAAGGGAAAAGAAAAAAGGGTGATAAAATGCACAGTAAAAGCTGTTGTTAAAAATACTTAAGGCAACATAAAAAGTCTTTGGTTGTTGCTGAAAAGATCATAACATTAGTCCCCTTCTACACTGCCAAATAATCCAGGTTTTCAAAGCAGAAAAGCCACGTTATCCACTTTGAACTGGATTATATGAGTACACTGCGATAAGCAGATTATGTGGATTTTATATAATTCTGTAGAAGGGGCCTAAGAAAGTTAACTGTTGCCAAAGAATTAAAGCGATCTAGGCCATGGCCATATAGTCTGAAAAAACCTACAACAACCCAATTAAAGCGATCTTTTATTCCATTGGTCACCAATTATTACATTTCACTATATTGGCAATATGCCAAAACTTTAATGTTGATGCTGATGGAGAAAGGGGGTGATATAGGAACTGTAAGGACCCTTCTACACTGCCATATAATCCAGAATATCAAGGCAGATAATCCACATTATCTGCTTTTAACTGAATTATGTGAGTCCACCCTGCCAGATAATCCAGTTCAAAGCAGAAAATCTGGATGTTATAGAGCTGTGTAGAAGGGGCCTAAAATACTGTTATCAGGACCAGCTTTCTTATTAGAGTGAGGAAAATGCTTCTGGTAAGAAATGCTTCACTGGCAGAGACAGCCATCACTGCCGTGACCTTGTGCTTCTAGACATCCCACCTTCTTGACGGATAGAGCTCTATTCTATCTTGAATTCCTAAACAAGGTTGGGTCCTTTGGGTATGTTGCATTGCCAGCACTGAGGATTGATTCAGCTGCCAGCCTAGTCCATTTATATGGAATGGAGAGGTACTATTTTGCCCTTTCCCTCAGGAAGCAAAATGCCTTGGGACAGTCCTGCTGAAAAATTGAAAGGTACCATTAATGGCTGGAAGAAAACACCATCTTTCGTCTCTATGTTGTTTTGCAGGATCAGAGCTGAACCCATGAAGTCTTAACAAATTGAGACATGTGCCAACTTTCAGCATTGACAAATTGTCAACTAAAGGTTTAGTTCAGAGACACTGGGACTGTGGCAAAGGTCGGCAACAAGCTACACAAATTTGGTTGGAAGCTCACTCCAACCTAGGCTGGCTTCAAATTCATGACCTTTTTGTCAGTAGTGATCTTAATGTTCGTTGTTGACCTTTGCAGTCCGAAAGACAGTTGCATCTGTCAAGTAGGAAATTTAGGTACCACTTTGTGGGAAGGCTAATTTAAATGATTTTTCAAAGCCATAAAAAATCTCCTGCAAGCATGCAGGGAATGAAGAAGTACTTCATCGGTGCCGCGGATGGACGGTGAAGCGACAGCTTCCCTGGTGGCCAGAAAAAGTTGGAATGTTAAATAGCCTCTGACTGTCTGTCTATATATGTTGTGTGTCTATGGCATTGAATGTCTGCCATGTATATGTACATTGTAATCTGCGGGGTGAGAAGGGAGGAATATAAACACTGTAAATAAATAAATAAAATACAGCACAATTTTCAGAAAAGGTTCTGTCCCCAAATTACTGGAACCCACATGTTGTGGTGGTTTGCCTGTTTGCTCTCTGACCTCTCACTCACATACCACACAACACAAAAGCTTTCCTTTTGGCTGGAGTTTGGCACAAAAAAGTGACTGGAAGTGTTGAATCACCACTTCTATTGCAGTGTGCCACATCCTCTGACATTTCATAGGTGAAAACTGGGACACATGTGGCCAAGCAACATCCAGGTGTGATCAAGATGGCTAAAGTTGTTATGAGGAGGAACCGAAGGTTAGGAGAGTCTGCTAAAGTTTGCTTTTACCCAAGCCTATTGGTTGGTGGTCCAAATCCAGGGAGCGGGGTGAGCTCCCACTGTTAGCCCCAGCTTCTGCCAATCTAGCAGTTCGAAAACATGCAAATCCGAGTAGATCAATAGATGCCGCCTTGGTGGGAAGGTAACAGCACTCTATGCAGTCATGCCAGCCACATGACCTTGGAGGTGTCTATGGACTACGCCCACTCTTCGGCTTAGCAATGGAGATGAGCACCACCCCCACATGACTAGATTTAGTGCCAAGGGGAAACCTTTACCTTTACTCAGAAAGGCAAGATTCTTTCCCCT